GATAAATGTGGTCCAGACTGGATTCATTATCATACAGTCATTATATTTTATTCACTTTTCTTCTTTGAGTTTAAAACATATTAAAATTAAACTTTTCTTTGTGGTCCTGAAAATACTATGGACCCTCTGCACTGTGTTTTCTCTTTTTAATAGATAACAGCACTCTCATCATTACATATAATAAACATATTTTCTGACATGTTCCTAAAGTCTCCAAAATTGGCTAAATGTCCATGTTTACCAAATCCCAGCTATAATTTCATTTCACTCATTGTACTTTTCTTCATTGTCAATTCATATAGCTTTCTAATATTATTTCATCAATTGATTATAAATATTTTTGTACTATTTCTTAAATTAGTGGACTTTTTCCTAAGAATCATTAAATGCACATATATGATCTTTTATTAACAAAAATACCTTCTAATTACTACTAATGTCTCATTTCTAAATAATATATGGCAAGTTTAATGTTAGGTTATTTACTAATAATACTGGCAGTCTCCCTGAAGTTAATGATTTAATTTTATATTACATTAATAAGAGTTTTTGCTTTATGACTATATTACTAAATGATTAATTTAATATTTATAGGTATACTACAATTGCTCTTGCATTAAACATGGATTAATAACATTGGATGAGCAAGGTGATTCTATTGATGCTAGATCTGGGACATGTGATCCCAAATGTTATAAACTTCCTTTGTTCCTTGCTTTTGTGTTATCTACAGTTATATTTTCTTGTTTTACTGGTATACCAAGCATCCTGGCCATCCTCAGGTATGTATATATTATTCTTTAATACATAAGAGTGAGTGACAATCTTAGGAAGATTTTGGAAAATTGTAGCAAATATTACTGTGTTTCAAAGTAGCAACTATTAGTGGGAAAAATTATTACATTGTCAAAATCCATGCACATGCTTAATTCTCTGTTTTAATGAATTTATTTGCATAAATTATAGATATCACATTTAGTTTTAATTAGCTAAATAATTAATTTAACTTAATGCATGAAAAATTCATATATGGGAAAATTATTGTATTTTAAAAATTCATGAATAGATTTGATTCTTTTATTTATATGATTGAAGTTTATAGATATCACATTTACTTTAACTTTATTGAAAAGTAAATTTGTTTGTTTGTTACATATCTGGAAAATTCTTAATTATAACACAGATATGGTTATAATATTGACTCATAAGTTATAGTAATTTATAGATTATTTACTTTAATTTTTATATTTCATATTAAGGGGTACAATTTTAATAGACATTCTAATAGACAATTTGACTATGAAAAAACATTAGCTTCACCCCACAAAGGAACCTAATAACTCTAACTTTTAGAATTTCATTATGTAAATTTTTATTATTCTAAAATAAACCTACATTCACTTGTTCTTCCACAAAATATGAAATACTTTAAATATTTTTTATCATAGAAGCAGAATAACTTGTCATAATTAAATTTTTTCAAAAGGTCAACATAAAACTTTAAGCCATATGGAATAGTTTTCTGTCCCAAGGAAAGCTGAGTATAAAACAGGAATAAATAAGAGCATGCAAAAAAAATGAAATCAGGGGCCTCCCCTGGTGGCGCAGCGGTTCAGTGCTGGGCTGCAAAGCTGCCCCCAGCCTCTGCAGCACCGGTTCCATCCCCGGCCGGCTGGCAAGAGTCCCATATGGCGCGCAGACCTCCCTGCCAAGCCGTCTGCTCCCCTCAGCAGTGTATTTCGTCAGTCTGCCTGTTCTGTTTCCCGCTCTGGCTCTGGTGAATTCTCTCACCCTCCACTGCATCTGACTGTACCCAGTGCTTGTATAAATAAATAAAAAATAAATCTTTAAAAAAAAAAAATGAAATCAGGGGCCTCCCCTGGTGGCTCAGGCAGTTGAGCACAGCGCTGTGAAGCCGTCCACAGCCTCTGCAGCACTAATTTGATCCCTGCAGGACGGTGAGTGTCCCACATGGTGCAGCAGACCTCTCCTGTCGCGTCCGCTGCTCCCGTCAGCAGTGTACTTCAGTTGTCTGCCTGTTCTGTTCTGCCCGCTCTGTTTCTGCTGAATCTTCTTACCTCCTGTGCATCTGGCCTGGACCCTGGTTCTTGTATAAATAAATAAATAAATAAATAAATAAATAAATATTTTAAAAAAAATGAAATCAGTGAATATGGGGTCTCCGCCATCAATGCACTTATAATTTAGAGTAGATATGAAACTTGGACATATCAATTACTGTGAAATAGTTTTTTCATATATATGTGTCTGGATATGTATGAATAAAGTACAAAGACCACTAAGATATGAACTTGACTTGAGTTGCTTAGAATTTCATGGGAGGGTGAATAACACACAAATAGAAATGCAGTGAATAATTAGAGCAATCTTAAAGATTGTATAACTGACCCAGGAACAAAAAGGCAAGAAAGGTAATTTCTATGCAAGATTACTTGGAATTACTTATAGAAGACATGAAACTTAAACTGTGTTATGCAGATTAAAAATTTTTGAAAAAGTGCAAACTGGGGATAAGTTTGTTTTTTTTTTAGATTTATTTAGTTATGCATACAAGAGCTGGCATGCAGGCAGGGGTGGGGGGCGTGAGAGGCTGCACCAGAGATGGAGTGGGAAGAAAACAGGCAGACTGACTGAAATACACTGCTGAGGGGAGCAGCAGAGAAACAGGAGATGTCTGCCTCGCCATGTGGGTTGCTCCCTGGCAGGCTGTCGATCGAACTTATGCTGCGGAGGCTGTGGACTGCTTCACAGGGCAGTGCCTTAACTCCCTGCTCTACCAGGGAGGCCCATGGGGATAAGTTCTTAAAAGGAAAAATAAGTGGATGGAGAGGCAAAAATCTGTTAAATATCTTGGCGATATTAAAAGTAACATTATGGTGAACAGAACAAGATTCGACTGAGTAAGGGTGTTGATCATGTTGTGTTTTCTTTGTCATGTTAAAATGAATGATGTTATCCTGTGTACACCTGGAAGCCATTGAAAACAGTAAGCCTCAGAAATAAAAATAATCATATATGCATTATAAGTAGAATAATTTGAAGACCTGTGGGGGATGAAGCTGAGGGAGAATACTACATAAAAGGGACAGTGCAAATATTATCATTTGAGAATTGGTTAATTTGTCTTGATTACCCTGGTAGTAAATATTTGAGGAAGCAATATATAATTTTACCAGGTTGGTATGGGTGGAATTAATCTAATTTTTTGCAAAATAGTATAAAAGCAATGTATGTATTCTGTATTTTAATAAATTGAATAATATTGGATGAAAATATTGATCATAGTAGGCTATGTTCTAGAACAAGAAAAGTTTATAACTTTTTAAAATTATTCATGGTTTATTTTACATGCAGTTCTTATTTTTTACTTCCTAGAATGTTTAAAAGTTGTTTTAATTGTATTTTCAATTTATTTTCCATATTACTAATATGTGATATTATGCATTATTTTTCTTTTTAAAACAAATGCTTGATTTGATTAGTGGGAAGTACAGATATTTTCATTCTTTATATGTGGGAAATTATTTATCATTTATTTTAGTTTTTGAATACAGAGGTAACAGATCCAATAAGAAATGTTAAAAGAGATCCAATTAGGAAAATTCAAGTAAAATTGAATTAAGTAATGATTTAACATGTACAAAGATTGTTAGGAATCCCAAAATACAGTGTAGTACTTCCTGTCTGTTACGATCTGGGTTCCAGAGGGGAATGAGGGTAAGAAGTAAAGAGACCTATAAGGGGACTCTTTTGTTTAGGGGCCTAGTCAGTCTGATGTAACTCTGCAGGGAGGGAGCCCCAAATGAAAAAAGAAAAGAATGAAAACTAGTGCCAAGTTATTTTCATCAAAGGAAAAGAAGGCTGGGCTATAGGGTTTACACCAAAAATGATTCCCTCTTGTGAAGATCAAGAAGCTTTGGAATTGGCTGATAAGGGGCAGGATATGAAGAAATGAGGAGATGCAGTTTTTTAATTCAGTCATATTGAATTCTAAAGATATTTAGTTTGATGCGCAGGGGGAAAATTAACTTTGAAATTTGTAAACATGCTTTATAGCTAACAATAATGATGTACTGATGATATCATTGCCATTTGCTTACAGGATTGTATCAGAAAAGCATCGTGCTATAGCCTTGGGTTTGAGCTATGTGATAGTGAGACTATTTGGTATGGATTTTGTCAATCTTTTATTACATTGAATTGTTCCTTTTTGATACTGCATACATATCTACATGTATATTTTTAATTTTTGAGTAAATAACAGTGGTAAACTGACACACCAAGTGAAGTGAGGGTGCAGCTTAACTATCTAACATAAAACACATCCTATCCGGAATATTAAATATGCATTAAAATTATATTCAATTACCAGTGATAATCATTTGTTTCAGAAAAAAATCAACCAAGCTCTTACAATTGGTTTGATAAGCTAGACTAAACATTTTATGAGCTTAGCAGATACCTGTTATAGTGCTTGCAAGTTTGGGAAATCACTAACCTAGATTAATACCTATAAAAATTTTCATCACATAAGACACCAAGTCTTAAGTTTGTGAGTAAGTTAAAGAACAAATTAGTTTTTGCTGATGACAATGTAGTACAGATTTTAGAATAGCAAAAACTAGCTTTACATATAACCATTGTTACCACAAATTTTTTCTCTTTCAATATTTTTGGACCATTGATTTATGAAGTGCTTTCAAATTATTGGTTGTGGGATAAGAAAACAAGATTGAATTGTTTTGAGGGTGAAAGACAAATTATAAAATAGAATAAAAATGGTGAAAAACCAAAGTGTGACTCACGT